TGGAGTTAGCATGTTCTCCCTGTGCATGCGTGGGTTCTCTCCGGGTTCTCCGGCTTCCTCCCACAGTCCAAAAAAAAGACTTTCAGGTTGACTGGTCTGTCTAAATTGTCCTTAGGTGAGTGTGTGTGTGTGTGTGTGTGTGTGTGTGTGTGTGTGTGTGTCTGTGTGTGTCTGTGTGTGTGTGTTGCCCTGCGATGGACTGGCTCTCTGTCCAGGGTGTACCCCGCCTGATTGCCCATTGACCACTGGAGATAGCCCCCCCTCACCCCGTGAACCTATGTGGACAAAGCGGGTTCAGACAATGGATGGCTGGATGGATTTCTCTAATCCTCACTTTGCATTCATTCAGTCGGTTCTCATGAACGGGGTTCCAGGAGATTAGTGCATTTTAAAGTGAATGTTGAACCAGCCAGCAGGCTCCAAGAATCAGAATTATTCTTTTAATTTATTTTGTCTTTTTATTTATTTATTTATTTTTAACCGTCTCCTGTCTGGCTGTGAAGCAAACAGAATTGATGTCCGAATGCTGGTGTCAACCCTTACAGATTCACGCCGGGGGCACACCGCTCGAAAATGGGACCGCCTTCATTCGGCGCCCTTGTTAAGCTATTCTATAGACCACATGGGCCGCTGAAGCCCATATATATATATTTATATATATATATATATATATGTGTGTACCAGTTAAAAGGATGTGAGGAGGTACACAAGCATGCACATGCACAGTAGTACACCCCCATGTACAGACAAAAGAGAGCAAAACTGGATTTGTTTGATGAGAAAGGTTGAAATGAAGCCAACTATGTAACACCACGATGCCAACGGTTGGAGAAGACTGCATTTTTAATGCACAGTTGATGTTTTTCTTCTACTTGGAACAGCATAACACTTTCTGAGTTAGTACATTAGTCAAAACTATTTGGTTCAACTCTCCGGGTGCATTTTGGTATAAAGCATCCAACCAATCAGGCTTCATTTTTAGCCACTGACCAATGATTGAAACCTGAGAAGATGTGACTGTAAATAAGAAGACAGGTTAAAGCCATGGAAACTTGAAGGATTGATAAAGAACTCCTTTGAAGAGAAAAGAAATGAAACGAGCAGCCACACCTCGTACCAATTTGGTAACATTACATGCTGCAGCTTTAAATCTGCACCTTGCATCAGTTTGATCAGTCACAGTCTTCCAGCCGCTACCAAATTCCTTTCCATCTTAAATAAAAGAGGACAGAGAAGTTAGGATAGAGAATATGTAATAAATACAGGAGTGGGTAAAGCCTACAGAGGCCACAAGGCTCTAATGAATATCCCCACAGAGAAGGGAGGGCGATGAGAGGCAAGCGAGCGGAAACCCACATTTCAATTTCTCCAAAAGCTCTGAGCTACACGTTGTGCTGCAGCTTTGATCACGGCGGAATAATGTGCTTTGATGCTTAGAATAAAAGATCTACCTTTTGATGTGTGTGATCGAGAAGGGGGGTGAAAATGTTCACCCTCCCTTCACCCCATGATTGTGTGGGTTTTCATGAAGCAGTTGGAGTCATCACTCGCTTCACTCTGACCCAAATTTAGGTGTCAGGATGTTATAAAACGGAGATCACACGCGACACCAGGGCTGCTATCTTCAGCTGAGAGCACACTGATGTGGTTTTGATCTCCATGGGATTCATCTGAGGGACTGACTTTAGGTCTATGTTTCTTATTGAACACTTATGAATACAAAGACAGTCATGACCAGACAAAAAGGACATGCTCGGTTACTCGAGGAAACGTGGGACACTTAAAATCACAAAGGGACACTTTTATCATAATTGTAATGAAAACTTGAAAATGTTCATCCATCCATCATCTGAGATGCTCAGCAAGGTCTTAGGCAGCTGGTGCCTAAAGCCTCGTTGATACTTGTGCAGAGATGCAGAAGCACACAGCACCGGTACCCTCGACACAAGGGCCGTTCCACAGGCACACAAGGACAGACCAGATCTTTTTACTATCTGTCAAACACAACAGAGAGCTCACGTCTGTGATTGGTCAGCCCAATAAAACCTTTAATTCCTCGAGAACAATCAGTTCCAGCTCAGTGGGAACTTGCTCTGTCAGCCGTTGCTCCTCGAGTGGATTGGTGTTAACACGCTTTTTCTTTCTACTTTAACAAAACAGGAACAATGACAGATTCCAATATCAACACAAAAATCAAACATTTTTATGTTAATTCACAACTCTTTCAAGTAAAAAACTCATCGACCAGAGACGTCACTGTAAACCCAGCAGAAAAGATCCACGCCTGCTGCCGTCCCGGCGGAGCATGGCTTCACAACGACACCGACGGAGAAGTAGGAACATGTCTCCATCAATGGGTGTGAGTGCAACCCTGCTGATGGGAGTGTCCAAGCATGACTTTACTCCAGCAGTAGCCTGGCAGGATGCGGGGGACATCCAAGACAAGTTTCCAGTCCATAAGAGACACACAGAGACAAACAACCAGTTACACGCCCACAAGTTAAAGTCCAAGCAGCCTTGTGTGTTTCTGTTATGTGGGAGGAGTGTCCAGAGTACCGGTACATATCCTTTGCATGCAGCGGGAGAAGTGCTAAAGGCTGATGTCCACTTCTCTGTCTGCGTGGGTAGAGAGACGCGCAACGCCTTTATATGTCAGTGTAAGGCTCTCCGACGGGCTCACAGAGGCTGGCCGAGACATGCCCTCCACAAAGATAAACAACAAAAACAATAGAAAAGACAGATTCAATACATTTTGTGAATCTTATCTTGAAAATATTTAATTTAAGTCATAATCACTGTAGGATGTTCAGGACACGTCATGCTGTACCAGCCTTTTGCATCCTTTCGTGCTGCCATGTGGGCGTCTGCTGTCTATAAACTTACTGAATGTAAAAAAAACCATCATGTTAGCGTTTGCTTTTAGGAATTTTGTGCCCAAGTGAGTTTGTGATGTCACAATAGGAAACTTAGATTAGAACCACATTTCATGAGTAAGACAGAGATGCTGATTGAGGAGCGGTGGCTCTACTCCAAGCCCCTCCCAGATATTGAAGCTAATAGCAGCCTGAGTGGGGTGAAGAGTGGGTGTGGCCAGCTCCAGCTTGTTTTCATTAAGTAACAGAGCCCTGAAACGGCTCATTCTGGAAGGTACTAAAACAATCAAGAATACCGCTGCTAAGATATCTTTACGTGAGAAGGACTCAGTGAATGAACTTCACAAACATCGACCATACAACTATTAAGTTTAAGAAACAGTCATTGCCAACTTTTCCAAGCAAAGCTGACAAGTACTACAAATAAATGGTTCTTCACAAAACGGCGTCCATTTCAACAAGAAATAAAATGTCTTGTGCCAGAGATCTCATCACTCCCCAGATAATGTTGGTCATGCCTGTTTTAGATGTGAATATTATTTATTTTCAGAGAAATGCTGTTCATGTCCAAAGAGGACAGAGATTATTGAGGCTACTGCTAATCCAACTCCTACCACACCAGTGCTTCTGGGAGCTTTCTCCATCTCTTCAGTTCAGTCCAAACACCCCAACATCCATCATGGACTACTGCCATCTTAGAATGGCTCCAACATTTCCCAGCACTGCATGCAGACGCTGTTTTGTTTACCTTTGCACTTCCATCAGACTCACATTACGATCATTTCGGCCAGACTTGACCCCAGCAACCAGAAATGCTACACTCAATGTAACCACAGAAGGTAAATGACCAGGTCGGTAGCCAAGTCACTGCGACTTTAAAGAGGGCAGCATCAGACGCTGGTGTTGGTCTTTGTAAGCCTAGTCATTAGCACTTCAGACCTGAAGTGATCTAAACTCTATTTGTCCAATCAGAGGCAAGACAAGGCAATCAACAGCATCTTAATGGTTGTTCCCTTCCTTCTAATTAAAATGTCCACTTATGGTTTTATCACATGAGCCATAAAGAAAGATTTCAAATGGTGAAAATATGCGATGAAGAGGTCCGGAGCCACTCCGGGGAGCGTGGGCCCTGTGATGATGTCCTGTCATTGCTATAGTTGTGGTTCATTCTGGACATGCCATGCTCCGGGTTTCCGAGTGGGCCTCAGCTGTTGGACTAAATTACAACTAAATGCCAACTTGAAGAAACCGAAGCAACCTTTGAGTCTGGACACAAACACAACCTGCCTTTGTTTTTATTAACGGTTGCCTGAGTTACAAGCAACCATTAACTCATTAGGTGATGTTTTTAATGAGGTAGCTGAGCACACGGATGGAAAAAGCAGGTGTTGAGGGTAGAGATGTGGTGTGGAATCAGAGGCAGGGTCATTAGGCCTGTTGGACAGGAGCAGGTGACGTGAAACACTCAAACTGACACCGTGTGATTAATACATGACCACAACCCTTCCTTGTAGAGCGAACACTCTGCCGAGCTCTAATCAATTATCCTGATAAAAGCTCTCCATTTTCTCTGGGATGGCCGCGTCCGGAATAGCAACCAGAGGCAGAGGAGGTGGGGGAGGTTTGGTGTCTGGACATGCAGCAGCCGGGACGAACACCGGCCATTACATTAAAACCACCTAGACTAATGTAATCTGTGTCTGTCGAGATCCCCACCGCTGCACCTGCTGTTCCACGCATGGCTGGTGTGTGACTGTGTGTAAAAACGAATGCAGGGCTCTGTGTGTGTGAGACATCGACATGTAAAAGTTCCACTGTAGAGCATTTAAACTGAAGTCGTGGTCTAATGCCATCGTCTCGCTCTCACAGTGGAGTCCGTTCCCAGCATTTAGACAAGCTGCTCCTCTGTTAGGTCATGGAGGGCTCGCTGGTGCTGGGTTTGCTCCTCCACCTCTGCACACATTTGTCTACAACACTCAACAATAACCATCCTGTTTGCACCAAAACTTAAAAACCTTTTGTCACAAGTTTGGTGAACCCCAGTATTGATCGTTAATCCTTACCGATGTATTTCTTCCTGTGTTTTTTACACAGATTAAACTTTGTCTTGCCTCTCTGTTCCTCCAGAATGCAGATGACCTCTTGGTAGCTTCAGCAGAATGTCCAAGTGATGACGAAGACTTGGAGGAGTGTGAGCCTGGAAATGGTGAGTCAGCTCAGGGAGTTCTGCTGACGGTGTAATTTATTCAGAACAGGGAACGTCTGCAGAGTTCTGCCTTTCTCCACTTCTAAGCGATGCTTTGTACCGCTTCGCTCCCTGTATGCAGCTGTGATTGGACAGATGTGGGCCCTAAACATGGTCTGTCCTGGTTTTTGAAGCAGCAGTAGTCTTTACCTCCCCAGCATTACTGAGAATGGACAGCTTCAATGTGGAAACGCAGCGTGTGTGTGCAGCATACAGCAGGCCTGGTGGCTGAGAACGGGTCAAGCATTGTTCTGACACCTCGACAGGAGGGGAAGTGAAAGGCCATGTGTTTACACCGTACCTCTGCTTTCCAGCTCTGCTACACCTGAAAACTGCCAAGAACCATGTTGGTAATCGGCTCTAAGACATGATAATAGCACACATGTGTGGGGTGAATGGATGGAGATCTATGTTCTCATCTACAAGATGGGCATTCAACAACAGCCATCACTCTGATATTTCCCTCTGCGTGTTTTCATGTATCCAGATTTTAATATGTAGACCTTTTGGTAGGTAACAGCGTAGATATGGTTCTCAAAACTAAGGTTTAGTTTTTGCACTCAGCATAAAAACCCCAGCAGTGATTATTATTCAGTCATTTTTAATATGAACAGCATTTCAAGCAAAATGGCAAAAACGGTCCAGAAAATCCCCTTTAAGTACAAAAGAAGAGAGATGACATCAGCCATGTTGCTGTGTTGCTACTTTGCTGCTACGTTTCGTGAGTCCTTCGGGCCGTCTACCCACTCTCTATTAAAATAAAGCCTCAGGCAACATTGGCCCCCAGCTGGCCCAGTCCCAACACACTGGTCTTCATCTGCAGTCAAAGCAGTGGTTCAGCATTTCAACCTCAACATGCAACTTCCTGATGAGAAGCCGCTGCTGTGCCCCGGTTTACAGTCAGGACAACATGTAGAGGCTGCCCCAAGACAAAATAAAGAGCGTTCACCTGTGACTGCTGCAGCGTCCATGTGGCAAAGCGAGACATCAGTACTGACTTTCATAACGGGCAGCAACTTCCCTGCTGAGGAAGAAACAACAGCTGATTAAATTACACGTGCTTTAGCATGGATGTGACAAAATAAATATCTATAAAGCATTATTACACCTGTAATGTCATTATAATAGTACGTTTAAAGCTGCACTAGTTATCTGGCCAGGACAGGTGAAGCGTTAAAGAAATTAAACCAAAAAAGGTGTCGCCAATTTTTTTTATTTTACATAATTGAACCTGTTTTTTTAAGTTACTCCATCAGAAATTCAGTATTAAATACAAAAGTACGATAGGTATGAATAGAAAGAGCGGAGAACTGTAGTAATGTCTGTTTCTGAACAGAGCTGTGCTTCCTGAGAGGAGATGGGGATTACGGATGTGTTGGACTTTAAATAGCAGGAGATTACGGTGCACATCAGCATGTTTGTGTGAGAAGAAACTGATCTGAAGCTGTGTGTGGACGCGGGAGTGCAGCATTCTCCTGCGGTTTCCTCTGTAGGTGGTTCGGACCAAAGCAGAGCCTCTTATCAAAAAGAAAGGCGTGAGTGTTTCTGTGAATCCTGTGCCCAAGCCTGATCTCCGGTGGGAAAATACAGCTCCCTCTTCGCCCACACGCATGGCGGCATGCAGGCTCACCTCTCCAGACAGACGTTGGCCCATCTCACTCTGTGGGTGCAAAGTTTTCTCCCTGCAGCCCACTCTCCTGAAGCAAACACACGTGCTCCGTATCACACCTTCCAGACACCAAACCAGCTCCAGCGTGGGGAGCCACGGAGCTCGGATAAGCTTCTGTGAAAGCTGTGGACGAGGACAGAAGAAGCAACAATGTCCACAGCCCGTCTGCTCCAGCTCTGCACTGAAACACGGGCCTGCAGCCACCGGGTGATGAGACCAGTGTTTTCATTCCCGTGTGAGAGGGAGCCCAATATTACTGCACCGCCATTAGGAAGGCCAACAAACGCTAAACACAGCCCTGGATTGTTGATCAAGCTCCACCAGAATACATGAGGACAACACATTTGCGTGTGTGTCGTGTTTTTATCTGCAGCTGTGTTACTGGACAACACCATCCTCGTGGCCTGGATAGGTGGAGTTTGTTCTTTCTGGTTCATCTGAGAGCGTAAGCGACCTCTAGAGAAGTTGGTCAGGGTTCCAGCAGATTTCCTTACTGGGTTAGGAACACGTCATGATGCTCTCCACCACAATCCAGTCCAATAGCAGCAGCCACAGACTGCATTTATTTATCTAACATAGTGATGATGACCTGCTGAACCAGAATTAAGTAAAAAATGGATTTAAAGATTTCAAATGGGGCACCGCAAGAGCCTGAGAAGACCTTTCCTGGTTGGACCTAGTCTTGATTTCAGAAGGTGGTGTCACAAACATGAAAGCATGAATCCATGCTTCAGGCTGCTGCTGGCGGTTTGATGGTGCGGAGGAGATGTACAACACTAGAGCCTACCTGAGTATTGTTGCTGGCCTTTGGGACCACATGGACCTGTCTTCTGATGGCTGCTTCCAGCAGGATGATGCACCATGTCATCACGCTCAGATCATCTCTAAGTGGTTTCTAGAACATGACCGTGAGTTTGCTGGACTCCAACGACCTCCACAGTCCCCAGAATTCAGTCCAGTAGATGAACTACAGGATGTGGTGGAACCGGAGATTTACACCATGGATAGAACTACGTGATGATGTCATGTCAGCACGGACCAGAACATCTGAGAAAGGTTTCTGACCATTCTGAAGGCACAACCCAATATCAAGGTGCACCTGATAAAGTAGCAGGAGAGGTCAGCTAAAGGATGCTGGCTGTTAGTGACTCAAAGTCAGGGTGATGAGTTTAGCTGCTGTCACCAGACCCATGGCTTCTCTCCCAACATCTCTCCTGCTGCTGATAAACATGGAGCAAAAGCAAAGAGAGAAAGCTGTGAGATGGAGATGAACAGAAAAGAGCTGACCCTCATTGAGATGTGTGTCACGTTCCTTTGCGCTCAAACCAGAGTGAAGAAATGGGAAGAGGAGCAAAAGGAGGGAGCTGGTGGGAGGAGGAGAAAGGAGGATGGAGCTAGCAGAGGGAAATTCCCATGAAAAAGTCCTGCTTTCCCCGCTCGGCTAATTAAACTTGGACTGTTAGGAAACCTTAATTACATCACCCAATTAGAGTCTTGGTCTGAATCTTCCAGTTGGTAACGAGCTGGTGTCGGAGAAGATCCAGGACTGGAGAAGGACCCCAGCTGCTTCAGCTCCAGAGAAATGGAGGAGGTGACTGTAGACAGAAAGGAATGACACTTCAAATATTTAACACAGACCAGAAACATGGACACTAACGGGAGCACGCCATTAGAGAAAATCTTTACTTCCAACAAGCTCTGCTCATTAGCCCTTCCTCCAGATTTCTCTTTCTGTCTTCACTCCACCTCAGCATGACCTCACTTTTCTTTTCTCTTGCTAACCTTCGAGCTACTGATCAGTCCTCGGATGTTGTAAGCGCTATCTCAGTTTTACTCTGACAAGATCAGAGCTTTGAGAACCTCCTCAATAATTCAACAGACGACACGCGACAGAGACGACCTGCAAATGCTGGTTTTAGGTGGAAGAGTGACTGTAAGCCATAGGGTGATAGATTAGGGGTGACCCAGAGCCCCGAGCCCCGCCAGTGCCTTGTCTGAGCCTGTTCAATGAGTCTGGGTGTCAGTTATTTGTCACTGTGATACTCCATTGATCTCTCCTGGCACGTAAACAGCCCCAGGTCTGTTATATGAGCTTCACAGACTGAAGGTTTGGCAATGGACACAACCAAACAGCATGGACTGATGATCTCTAAACAGCTGAGTTCAGAGGCGCGTTTCTGCAGCAGGACGTTTAAGCAATCAGCGTTAAATTATTTCACAGTGAATTATTAGAAAATGCATGCAGCACACGGAAAGTTTTTCACTTTAATGTTTGTTTTATCCAACCTAACAAATTAATTTTCCCACAGAAACACAGCGCTAGCACGCCTGAGCTCTTGACTTTTACTTCAGTCGCCTAAAAATCAGACTTGTGTGCATTATTATTATTATTATTATTATTATTATTATTATTATTATTATTATTATTATTATTATTGTTGTTGTTGTTGTCAAAAAGTTGGAATTCGGCAGGTCAGAGTTCAGGTAAAGGTCACACGTTCACAAATGAAACTGTGAAAATGAATTTTCTGTTTGCTGAGAACTTTTCTGGTTAAAATGATAAATGACCTGCAGTTATAGCGCCTGTCCGAGTCAGGGGACGGCAATGCCGTTTAAAGTAATGGATGACCGTGCAGGGGGACATTTTGTTTTATAAACACCATTTAAAGGGACTTTACGGAGTTTTGAATTTTATTCTCGCGACTGCCCCCTCAGGCCAAAAGCTTAACCGTAGCTTCAATAGTAGGCTCGTGCACGAGGCACGCGTGCTGTACGTGCACACTCCTTAACGAAAATAACAGCTGAGACAGTCCCGTGTGTGTGTATGGGGGGGGGGGGGGGGGGGGGGGGGGAACGTGCAGCTAATTAATTAAATAATTTGGTTCTGTACCTTTCTCTTCAGCACAGCCGACAAAGGTTTGTGATGGGTCAGTCCTCCTGCATGCTCAGATCATTCCCTTCCCTTGCTTGAAAAATTGTTCCAAAATGAAAGTTGAACCCACATCTTTTTTATCTGTGAATTCAATGCCGTTCGGCGAGTCTCAAATAAAAATTTGGGCATCTTACTGTAAAAAAATATACCATTAATGTAAAAAATAAACTCTAAATAAACTATGTTCACATCTAGATTCAAACTCAGATCTTCCGCTCGGGAGTCCATCTTCCAACTAGGTGAGCTAAAGCACCAGTAAGGGTATCTGTAACATTTATATCCTTGATGACAGCTGAAACAACGTTCAAAGAACGGTTGGGAGTGAAAATGGCTATTTTGTTGCTAATTAGCAGGAAATAT